CCCTGGAAACCACAATTCTTCTTTCCGTCCTTATGAACTTAAGTATTCTAGGGAGTCTATATAAGAGGAACCATGCAATATTTCTCCTTTTGTGACTGGCTTGTTCACTTAGCATTATTTCCTCAAGTTTCATCCACGTTGTAGCACGTGTCAAAATTTCCTTCCTTTTTAAAGCTGAATAACATTCCATTGCAGGTATTACCACTTTCTGTTTTTCCACTCATCTGTCAATAGACACTTGGGTTGCTTCCACCTTTTGCCTATTATGAATGATGCACCCATAGACAGTGGTGTACAAAGATGTCTGAGTCTCTGCTTATACTTAGAAACGGAATTGCTGGATCATATGGCAATTCTATGTCTAATTTTTTGAGGAACTGCCATACAGTAGCTGCATATCTTACATTCCCACCAGCAATAAATAAGTGTCCCAATACCCCACATCCTCGCCAACACTTCTGATTGTTTTTATAACGGTCATCCTAAATGGTGTAAAGTGGCATCTCAGTGTCATTTTGATTTGCATTTCCCTAATGACTAGCGATGTTGCATATTTTCATGGGCTTCTTGGTCATTTGTTTACCTTCTCGAAGAAATGTCTATTTAAGCTCTTTGTTCATTTTAATCAGGTTGTTGTTCCGTTTTGTTTTTTATGTTGAGTTGTAGGAATTCTTTATATATTCTGGATATCAATCCACTGACACAAATTTTTTCAAAAGCTGGATTAGCTATATGAATATGAGACAAATAGACTTCAGAGCAAAGAATAGTGCCATAATAAAAGAAGTCGATTTGTCAAAAAAACATAACACTCCAAAATGTTTACATACTTGGTAACAGACATTCAAAGATTCACATGAAGCAAAAATTGATAAAATTACAAGGAGAAATGGAAAAATCCACAATGTCCCTCTTTCAATCCCTGATAGTACAAGTAGGCAGAAAAGCACTACCAACCAACATGACCCGACATTTATAGAACACACTCCACTCAATGACAGCAGAAAACACATTCTTTGCGAGTGTTCTCAGGACATTTTACCGAAGTAGACCACATCCTAAACAAGTCTCGATAAATCAAAACAATTCAAATCATACAAAGTACGTCCTCTGTTTACAAAAGAATTAAGTTAGAAATCAATGTTTACTGGACAGAAAGAGAACAAAGTCATACTATAATGTTGAGTTTGACTCTTGCTACTTGTAATCCTGCTAAGAAGGGAGCAGATAAATTAGCAGTGGGACTAAAATTACTTATATGACTTCAGTGCTCTGCACACCTGTCCTGGGTTATCTGTTCACCACACTCCAGCCCATCCTAAGCCCCAGGGGCCCCACTCCATCGCTCCAGCGCAATCACAGACAAACCTGTTTGGTATTTGCACAAGTCTTTCATGTAAATTCGAGAAAGGAGAGAACTTGGGAGCGGTGAGAGGGGAGAGAAATGCAATGGAGGAAGCGCCTGGAAGCAAACATGCCCTTACAGCACCCCAAACCTGAGACCACTGCCATGACAGCGATCTCGCTAATATGGGACAACTATCTGGAAATAAATTTAAATCTGAAAACTCCAGACCCTGAGCAGAAACTAACAATTTCTAAACAGAGATCCAATCAGATTAAAATAGACTGATTAGTTCAGTCTGGAAAAACCCTGCTAGCGCTGGCCAACAGTGTCCGGAGATGATTCATATAACTAGTTATCCCAATGCCCTTATAATGGCAGATTTAGCTCAGATTAGCCAATTTCACAGCAATAAGCAAAAATAAAACAAGATTCCTTGAAATAACTTCACTTCCAAACCCAGTAAATCTACAAACTTCTACAGGCACTGCTTCCCAAACTTGCCTTACAGTAAGAATCATCATCCAGTGCTTCACGTGTCAAAAACACATGGAACCCCGCCAGACAATCTAAGTAAAAATCTGCAGAGGTGTGGTTCTGAATGCTTAACAAGCACCACAGATGATTCTGAAGGTCTAGAAAGTACACATTCGCTTTGAAATGAGACTAACAGCTAAAAACCCCAATTTGGGCACTCACTGTGATCCTAGCTAAATTATCTATCATCTCCACGACTCACCTTTCATCTGTAAAACAGGATCACCACCTACCTTGAAGTGTTCTCAAGAGTTCAGTATGTTCACAAAGGCCCCTCAAACTGTGCCAAGAGTACACAGCATCCAAGCAAGAACTCAGAGCTATCGCTACCTAAAATATAGCCACCAGAATCTGCCCAGATGAAGTATACAATAAAAATTTTCTACCTAATGGAAATTACAAAGGCACCAAACCAGATTTCAGAGATAATACAGCAAAGAAAAACTTTTTTGGGTACTAAGACCGCCAAGAACAAGGACTCGCATTTCAGTGTCCAGTATTTTGCCCCAAGTCCTTGCTCCCATCCAGAACCAGAGTTCAAGGATTCAGCTTTGGACGACAGCCAAAGAAAGGCTTTCCATCCCAAATCCCTCTGCCACCATCTCCTCTAGCTCCAATGCTGAGTCAAGTGGTAGCTTCTCAGGGCTCCTGGAGAAGAGGCAGGGAGCCAGAGAAGGGGGTGGAATAGGCCTGAGTCAGCAACAGGATTACTGCTGAAGCAAAGGGCAGTGACCGAAGTTTCCAGAGCTACAGGTGGGCACTACTCAGGTGAGTGAGCTCAGATACTGCGTAGCTGAGAAAAGCAGACTCATCTTCAAGGAAAGACCCTAAAGTGTAGAGTCAACTCTGCCAGTAACTCCCAACACAGCCCAGGGAACTCCTTCCCTCACCCAGAAAGTGGGAAATAAGCACCTCACAGGCACCTACTGGAGATATACAGACCGTCCTGACTTCTGATGGGTCAATGTACGACTGATTTTCTGACTTTATGATGCTGAGAAAGTGAAATGCATAATAAATTACATGGGATAGTCAACACTTTATAAAATAGGCTTTATCTTAGAAGATTTGTCCAACCGTAGGCTAATATAAGTGTTCTAAGCACATTTAAGGTGGGCTAGGCTATACTATGATGTTCTGTAGGTTAGGTGTATTAAATGCATTTTCAATTTACAATATTTTCAATTTACAATGGGTTTATCTGGACATAACCTGATTATAAGTTGAGGAGCATTTGTGTGTGTGTGTGTGTGTGTGTGTGTGTGTGTATACAGTGTACAATGGGCTAACTAGCTCTAACGTCACTAGAACTGCAAACAGTGTATACACACACACACACACACCACTGCCCTTTGTACCCGAGTGGAACCAGGTGCGTACTGTAGATATACACTGAAGGGGACCAAAAGTTTTGCCTTTTGGGATATTAATTTTAAGAGAGTTATTAAGAAACAAAAGACTCAGGAAAGACCTTTGACCCTCCCCGCCTTCCAAGCCGGGAGAGATTCAGATGGGAAAACCTGCTTCAGGGAGGGAACCTTAGCATAATCACCTTAGCATTAGACAGAAGGCTCCAAGCAGGAGCTTGTTGACTAAATCCCACACCCCACTGTTTTCTGGGTTGCCTAGCAAAATTCTACCGGACACGTGTGTTCCACTCTTCCTCACATACTTGCAAATCACCCATTCTCACTTTTGAATTCTAAGATCCCATCCCCCCTTCTCCTCTGTCCAAAATAACATAGATGCCTAATTTTACCTGTTTCTGAAATTTTCGGTGCTTATGTGAATCCCCCCGTGTAAACATATTAAAATTTGATTTTCTCTTGTTAATATGTCTGTTAATTTGATTATTAACCCAGCTAGAACTCATAAGGTGAGAGGGAAAATGTTATTTCCTTAGTTCCCACAAGACACAAACACAGCAGGTCCAGGGGGAGGAACTGGTCAGTGATGCCGGCGGTCCAAGTCTCGGTCCGGAAAAAAGGCTAAGAACGGAGCCAAGGCTGAAAGCCTGCGGAACGGGCACAGGACTGGGACTCGGAGACCAGAGTGTCCCTCTAATCCCACTCTGCCACCAGCCTCCCATATGTCCTATGGCAAGTGGGTCTCCACTCTCAGGCCTGTTTCCCCATCTGTACAATGGGCTAACTGGCTCTAACGTCACTAGAACTGCAACCAGCAAAATGCTCAAATACGGGACGGTGGAAGAAGGGTGACGCTGAGGAGTGGGGAGGGGGTAGCCGAGGGAGAGTCTGGCGCGGTCCCCTCACTCCCTCCCTCCTGCTGCGAGGGGCAGGGGCGCCGGCCGGCAGCTGCAGTCACGCGCCCCTCGCGCCCAATCACCGGCCTCTACCAGAGCGAGGCGGGCAGGAGGGGGCGCGCCGGAGGCCATTGTAGCGCCAGCCCCGTCCCCGTCCTCGCCCCTCCCCAGGCCCGGCTCACCTGCTGGGGCTGCCGCCGCCGCCACAGCCGCCGCGGGTTAAACCACAGCCCACGCCCACACTTCCGGGGTCCGCGAGGCCCGCCCCCTCTTGCCGGATGTGACACCCCTCCAACGTCCGGGTCTCGGCACGGCGCCCACGCCGCTCGTCCCGCTACCACGCTGGGCGCCCCGCGGGCCTCTGAGTCACGACTCAGACTCCCCCCCCACCCAACCAGACACACCCGCGGCCGCCCGGGACCACACCCATGGAAAGGCGCGCGAGGCCCCGCCCGCGCGGCAGACGCCTGGCCCCGCCCCCGGGAGGGACACCGCCCAGGAGGCGGAGCCCAGGCCGCCTGGGGCCAGCGCGCCTGCGCAGGCGTCCCGCCGCGTCTTCCGTGGGCGAGGGGCTGCTGTCAAACTGGGCTGGGGTTAGGGGCGGACCCTCAGAGAGGTCCAAAAGGGGCCCGAGAGGAAATGCGTAGGGGACGCCACAGATGGGCTGAGCTCAAACTGCAGCACCCCCGCGCCAACCAAATGCTCATTTCCATGACACCGTTTGGCCCCAGGACTGGAGTAACCTCGGACCTAAGTGTCCCCTGACAAAGAGCAGTGACTGTTGGTCTGGAACTGACCGGCAGGCTCCTCAAAACAACTCTGAGTAGTTTCCCCAAAAGTAACCGGTTCCCCAAGGCCCTTTTAGTCCATTCTGTGTAGATAGTGCTTTAAAAATCACTGTCGTCTCTATATATCATCGCTTGTCCAGAATCACGAGGCTGATGACCTGCTAAGCAGGGCTTTGATGCTTACGCTCTCTTCTCTGGACAACAAAGTTTAGAGGTGAATCCCATTCCCTGGTTTGCCTCTCTGCAGCGTCCATAACTGCAGCTTTGTAAAAATGAGATCACAGGAGAAGAGCTTCTTAGAAAAAGGAAGCCATGCTGCCCCCAATTTAAAACCTTCTTAGATGTTGATTTAAGACCGTCATTGCTAGTGACAGAACCCAAGGCAAAGCAGCTCTGCAGAATGTGAATTATTGGGTCACACGATCATAAACTCTAGGAGCAGTGGCCAGTATTATTTGGAAGGATGGCCCTCATCCTTCTCACTTGACTCCATTCTTTCTCTGGTGTTATCGCCCTTTCCTTTCAGCAGATAGCGTCAAGATTTCTATTTCAAATTCTAGAGAGAATGGATCTGATTGGCTAAGATAATCACCATTGTCCCTATTGGACAGAGCTTCTCCTTTCTTGCCATTTCATAGGCTGTCAGGTAGCCTATGGATTAACAACCATTGGGTCAGGTGATCATCCTTCTCCAATCAGTGATCACCACTTAGAGCACCAAAGGGACCAGTGAGGAAGGCAATCCCAGCTACTGGTCCTTCTGAGACACCAGTGACTTGTTCGAGAGATGCCATTGATTTTGCAAATATTCTACTTTGAGCATAATGTCAGAGCGTCTCCCATTGACAGCAGCTGCCAGAAAGCTGGGTTGAAACTGTTTCTGTGGGGTGGGGAGGACCAAGGCGATGACCTTAACTTTTTGTTCTAAGCCTTTTTGTGCTATATAATTTTTAATCCTGTGCGTGTAGTATTTGGGGTGGGGGGGGTAGAAAACATTCCTGATAGATTAGCTTGAGTTTATATTCAGCAATCCTTTCACTCACTGGTACTGTGTTGGAATGTGGACTGGGGATGTGATAGCTGGAGCAAGAGTAGTCTTCTTGGACTGTGAAGTGACCATGGGAATGGAGGCCATACCTGGCAGCACAGCAAAATAGAAGGAGCCTGAGTCCTGTTATTATGAAGCGCTATGACACCTCTGGCTGCCCACCTCTGGACTTTTACAGGAGGAGGAAATAACTACTTGGTTCACCACTGTTGTTTTGTGTTTTCCGTCACTCATACCCTTTAGGTCTCAAACTCCATTCTGGAATGCCCTTCTTGTATCTCCAAGACTAAGTGTCCACCCCCTGTATATTCCTCAAACACCCCATATATTTTCTTAGCATTTGCTACAACCATTCACTTTCCCTGCATAGTAACTTCTGTAAGAATAGAGACCGTTTTATATATCATTTCACACAGAAACTTCTAAAACAATGACAATAGTAACTTGTAAAGGTGACAGACATAATGATTCCACCGAGGGTGTTGAGGGGAAATGACAAACCGCTATGCACTCTCTGCATCAAATGGGTCATTGCCAAGATCACCTTGACTGGGGGAGGGGAGCAGCTAGCCCTTCTGAATAACCATAGAGAATTTAGGGCAAAGGAGGGAGGACGAGAAAGCGGCAGGAAATTCGAGTCCCCTGAGGCAGGTGGCATTGGAAAAGTGTGCTCTTTCAGCCTTGTTTCCTTCTGTTTTCTACTTCCGGCTTTTTTCAACTTCCCCCAGGCTCTAGCCCCATCCGCCTTTATCCTCTCTCCTATCCCTTGCATCGAGGTTGCCATGTACCAGGCCTCTATTATACCCAATTTTATTCATATTCCGAGTGGCTCCGATACTTAGAGAGACAGACAGACAGCCAGAGAGACATTCATTCATTCCATATGTTCACTGACTACCTGTGCTGCTAAGACCTGTGGGTAGAAAATGATCAGATACCATCGCCAGTCTCAGGAAAGTCACATTCTTGGTTGGGATTTGAGAGAAAACAGGAGATCTTCCTATTCCAAGATATCCCAAGATATCTGTCTTTCAGATAAACTTGATCAGAAACAAAATCTACTAAAGTAGAAACATTCATTGTGCTTCCTTTCTATCCCTTTACACAAATATTTGTTTGTTTAGCTCCTCAGTACTGGATCTTGTGATTCCGGTTCACTAGATGGAGAAGCGATGTAAACAAAGGAAGATTAGACAGAGTTTGAGGTAACAAAGACAAGATATGTGAGAAGCTGAGATAGTGAGAAAGATTTGGGAACTGGGTTGGAAAAGCAGGTTGTAAAGGAAGTTTAGCCATCAGGTGTGTATAATCCTCCGTTTGCTCTTCAGGAGATCTTCAGTGGAGACTTTGTGTTTTGTATTTTTGCTTTTTTTTTCCCCCCTGGAGTCGAAAGTCAGATCCCTCTGGCCGATTTCTCACTCTCACTGCTTCTTCTGGCTCCCACACTGTGTGCAGCAGTTCAGCCAGAGGATATTATGCTGCTGAGGCAGGGGCTAGAAGCTACCTACAAAATTATCCATTCTCTGGTTTTTCTTAAAAACAGAGTCTATTTTATTATATAGCAATGTGTCCGGTAGCTAAAAGACTGCATTTCCCAACCTCCTTTGCTGCTACTTATGACGGGGCAACTCTGTGATATAAACAGAAGTATGGAGAGAGATTTCTTGGAAAGCTGCTTTAAAGAAGTTGATCTAACCCACCTTAACTGCTGTCTAGATTTCCAATGTGATGGCTGTAACTCCTGCAGTTGTATTAGACCATAAGGCGATCTTACAAATGGGAACCATTCAAGCTCTGGATGGCCTACCTCCAGATTTGTTTTCAGTGAGACCAAAAAAAAAAAAAAAAAATCAAGTTTTATCTTGTTTAAGTTATGTTACTTTTAAGCTTCTTGTAATGTGCACCCAAACTTAAACCTGATACTACTATGTGGTTAATATAATATAGATTTATTATTATTATTTTGTTGGATTTGGTAAGTAAATTTATATTTTATGAATTTCTTGCTTTTATTATTTCTTTAAATTTATGCATCACCCACACATATACATATTCTGGTATAAATGCAAAATTGTGATAGTAAACATGCTTTCTTATAGTTTTTTTACTTTTTATTTTTTGCTTGGTTTCCCCACTTATTAACAGCTTAGCGTATGTCTTCTCGTATAATCTCACCCAAATTTGTATCTACCACAATGTGGAAAGGATTAAAGAAGAATAAAGTGTAGGTATCTGAACAAAGGGTGGTGGTCGTTGCTGCTGGTCGGAAATATTCTATAGCAGGATCACAGTTCTCCTCCTCCCTTGTCTCCTCTCGTCCGCTTTGCCATGACCGTGAAATCTCCTCTGGCACTCGGCATGTGAGCAGAGGCGATGTGTGTCACTTACGGGTAGACGTCTTTAAGAACCAGAGTCCAACTTACCACCCTTTCCTTTCCCTTGCATCAAGAGGGAGCATCGGTCAGCTTTTCTCCCGCAGTGACTGTGATGAGCAGGGCTCCCTGCCAACCTCTGTTAGAAGAGAGTGAGAAATAAACCTTAGTTGTGCTGAACTACTGAGATTCGGGGGTTGTGTGACCTCATATTGTGACTCAGCATTTCTTCGCTGAAACAGGAGGGTATAACAGGGACTACTAATTGTCTCCTTCCTTTAGTAGTCAAGCCCCTACATCCAGGACCATCCAGCTAAAGAATCTATTTCCTAGCCTCTCTTTCACCTAAAAGTGTTCTTGTGGTTTCCTTATAGCCAATGAGATATGAATGGAAGGATTATTTACAACTTCTGGTTGTGCCCTTTAAGGAAAGGGCTGCTTCCCTTTCTCTATTTCTTGCTAGCTGGGATGCAGATGTAATGACAGTCGCTGGAGCAGCCACATAAGACCAAGAGATGAATACCCCATGTCGAAGCTGGCAAAGCAACAGTGAAGATTTTGGGTCCCCATCACTGTGGGGCCACCTGGACTATTACGTGAGAGAGAAATGAAACTGTATTCTATTTAAACCTCCGTTATTTAGGCTTTGGTTACAGCAGTTGGGCCTGGAACCTAATACCTACCTGGAATCTGTGTGTTAGCCTTGTCTCGACGATTAGAGAGTTGTAGATGGAGACCATATCTACTTCCATGGGCTTATGAATGAGTCAGGTGAGATCCCTGCCCTGTGGGACATGTGGTCTAGCAGGGGCTTCAGCAAAGCAAGCCAGGGTGTAGCCACATGACAAGGAAACGTCAAGGTGCTCTAGGAATACATGAGAGGGGACCCTAAACAAGTCGGATGCTAAAGAAGGGAATGATCTTAGCTCAGGTTTCCCAGAAGGAGCCATGAGAGGAGGTTTCATACACAAGTGATCTATTTCAAAGTTGCTCTTGGAGGAAATGAGGGAACAGGAGAAGCAAGACAGGGAAGGGATGGGGTCCAGCATGGCTGTGATTTCACTCAAGTCCTGTGGAGGGAAGCTCCCGCCTGCTCCCACAGAGAACTCTAGAACATAAATCGAACCTTAAAAGCGCCAAACCCCAAGCAAGGGAGCTGGGCTCTCGCACTCC